TGCATGACTTAATTTTTCAGCCATTAGATTTCATGTGCTAAAGGCCTATCTAACATCTCCCTGTATAGGTACATAAAAAATGCACTCAAGCTCCCTCTTAACTTTGTATTCAATAAACTGATTGTGCTGCTGTAGCCTCTTGCATTGTGTTTCCTGGACAAGAATTTAGTCTTCTAAGCCTGCTCCAAATTATCCTCATTATCATCATTTTTGGAAGCACAGACACTATAGTCCAGAAAGTAGTATTAGTCATGTTGTCTACGGCAGTCTGTTTACCCTGTCAGAGTATCACACTGGAAGCTCATGTTTGGTTTATGTACAGTGGCTCCTATATCCTTAACTGAGCCACTGTTTTTGAGAATACAGTTCCCTATCTTGTAAATACTATGTTCTCTCTTCCTATAGGTTTCAGAGGGGTAGCCGTGTTAGTCTGTGTCAGCAAAAACAATGAGGAGTCCTTGTGGCACCTTGGAGACTAACATTTATTTGGTCATAAGCTTTCATGGGTTATAACCCACTTCATCAGATGCATGGTGTGACATATAGTAGGCAGGTATAAATACACAGCACATGAAAAGATGGGAGTTGCCTTACCAAGTGCGGGGGTCAATGGTAACAAGCCCAATTCAATCAGGGTGGATGTGGCCCATTCACAACAGTTGACAAGAAGGTGTGAGTATCAACAGAGGGGAAAAGTTACTTTTTGTAGTGACCCAGCCACTCCCAGTCTTTATTCAGGCCTAATGTGATGGTGTCAACTTTGCAAATTAATTCCAGTTTTGCAGTTTCTTGTTGAAGTCTGTTTTTGAAGGGGTTTTTTTGTTGAACTTTTAAGTCTGGCCACTTTTAAGTCTGTTACTGAATGTCCAGGGAGATTGAAGTGCTTTCCTGCTGGTTTTTGAATGTTACAATTCTTCACGTCTGATTTGTGTCCATTTATTCTTTTGCATAGAAACTGTCCAGTTTGGCCAATGTACATGGCCGAGGGGCAGTGCTGGCACATGATGGCATATATCACAGTGGTAGATGTGCAGGTGAACGAGCCCTTGATTGTGTGGCTGATGTGGTTAGGTCCTATGATGGTGTTCCTTGAATAGATATGCGGACAGAGTTGGCAACAAGGTTTGTTGCAGGATTGGTTCCTGGGTTAGTGTTTCTGTTGTGGGGTGTGTAGTTGCTGGTGAATATTTGCTTCAGGTTGGGGGGGCTATCTCCCAAGGTCTGTGAGAGTGAGAGATTGTCATCCAGGATAAGTTGTAGATCCTTGATGATGCGCTGGAGAGGTTTTAGTTGGGGGGGATGTAGGTGATGGCTAGTGGCGTTCTGTTACTTTCTTTGTTAGGCCTGTCCTGTAGTAGGTGACTTCTGGGTACCCTTCTGGCTCTGTCAATGTGTTTCTTCACTTCAGCAGGTGGGTACTGTAGTTTTAAGAATGCTTGATAGAGATCCTGTAGGTGTACAACCAAAAGTAATTTTCCCTCTGTTAATATTCACCCTTTCTTACCAACTGTTGGGAATGGGCCACATCCACCCCGATTGAATTTGCCTCGTTAGCACTGACCTTCTCTCCCCCCCCCCCCCTTTAGTAAGGCAACTCCCATCTTTTCATGTGCTGTATATTTATACCTGCCTACTGTATTTTTCACTCCATGCATCTGATGAAGTGAGTTATAGCCCATGAAAGCTTATGCCCAAATATATTTTCTTTTAGTCTCCAAAGTGCCACAAGGACTCCTCATTGTTTTTTCTATTCCTATAGGTCAGTGGTTCCCAAACTTTAACAACCTGTGAACCCCTTTCACTAAAATGTCAAGTCTTGTGAACCCCTTCCTAAAAACGAATATTGCCAGGGATTTTCTCCTTTGAGTATAAATTATAAAAGCAGTGATCCTGGAAATATAAATTTTTTGACATGATTATTACACATTTATTGCAGTATTTTTATTACATTACGAAAACAGCACCACTTCCACAATCTCACTTTCATAGCTTGTATCACTCTGAATAAGCCTGTTTATAAGACAAGGCTCCTATGTTTCATCAAGGTGTATCAGATTTGAAACAGCATGAAGGTATTTAAGAAGCCAACTCCAAGTTCCTCCTACACAAGCATTCAGGTCTTGAGCAGTCCAGGCAAACAACACCCGTTACAATAAAGCCTAAACTTGTTCTTCATAATAATTTTAAAAACAATACTAGCTGCCTATTTAATTTTAAAAACAGCAAAAAATATCTACCTCCCTTTCCCTTTCTTATAAGGAGTCTTGAAGTTTAAATCGCCTCATGGTGATAGATATGCTTGCTTTGATCTGCTTAGCTCTTAGAAGTCCACGGGCTGCTGGCCGGGGTCCCTAGGGACAGGTCTGTCTGCCATCAGGGAATTTTTTTCCCAAGAACCCTCTGTAACGATTCACAAACCCCAGTTTGGGAACCACTGCTCTAGGTAAAGCTCTTTCTCTTGACTGTATTAAAACATGTCTGAGTCACATCACTCTGTAGCAGTGACTTGTCATCCTCATTATTTACTTCTGTATCGTATGAACTTTTTATCAGTAGTGATGATATATTCAAGGTCACTGATTAAAACTGTAAATAGTAGTGGGTTGATAACCAATCCATAGGGCAAAATTACATTAGAAACTACCACCTGTTGATTCCTAGTAACAATTGTTTGGTCAGTGAGCTGCCACTTTTCCATCACGAGTAAGTGTTCCACAGCGATGTACAGGGAGAATATTCTCACTTGCATACAGAACAATAATTATTCTGCTGAGTTTATATGGCCATGTTTTTGTTTTTTTTTAAAGAGTGAGTGTAGTGAGGTTAAAATTTTTCTAAAGACTGTATTTTAAGGAAAAAATATTAAAAAAAAGTTTAACAAAGCTTAACCCTTATAGTAGAAGAAAGGCAACCACCATCAGCTCTATGAAAGATAAACACCCAAGGAGGTAGCAGAAAGGGATGGGGCCATTAACAATTAATGGGATGAAGTTTTATAGACACCTTAATATGGATTTCAGGATAGACTTTCAAGCAAAAACTGTAAGGAAAGATGCAATAACCCACATGAAGCCTCTGTTACATTTTAAAGATTGGCTTTGCTGTAGCCACTGGTAGGAAGTTATGGAGTTGTTGCAAGACATCTCTCAGAACCTATTTCCTACCCACCTTCCTTCAACCATGCTGCAAACAAGCAAGCAACCGGATGCTCTGATGACAATACTTATATCTCCACTGCAGCACTGTAAAGAAGGAGATCAATCAAGCCAAATCTCAGGCAGTTCCAACTGCCAAGGCTACCGCCAAAGAAACTGCAGTTGTAGCCAGCTGTCAGTTACCCTACCATTGAGCATTCCTGAACTTCTGATAGTCACTAATAAGTAATGTTAATTTTGCATATAAACAACTTGTTTACTAAATACTATAAGAGAAGATACCCTGTAGCTCAGGGGTTCTCAATCTTTTGTACTGGTGACCCCTTTCACACAGCAAGCCTCGGAGTGCAACCCCCCCCCCTTATTCATTAAAAACACTTTTAATATATTTAACACCATTATAAATGCTGGAGGCAAAGCGGGGTTTGGGGTGGAGGGTGACAGCCCATGACCCCCCATGTAATAACCTCATGACCCCCTGAGGGGTCCCGACCCCCAGTTTGAGAACCCCCTGCTGTAGCTGTTTTTGGAACATTCACTTTTGGGCCTTAGGACAGAATACAGATAACATCATCTAAAAAGTTACATTGCTGTGATTCAATAGAGGATTATGCACAGTTGTGATGACGGTGACTACATGGTCTGTGCTTTAGATTTGGAGGATATCTTGTAAAGGAGAAGAAATGGATTTGTCCCCCTTTTTATTCCCTTTGCTTCTGTCGATATAAAAATCTAGCAAGGAAAAAAGAACAGGCCTCTTCTAAGTAGGGCTTTTTGACCCTACTTCCAGTCATCCACAGTATCTTTCTGGAAGAATGGTAATAGCAGGTTTATGCAGACTTCACCTACTAAGTGTACTTCCCCTCTCAATATTTATTCAGATTGTTTAAACTATTAACTCCAATACCTGAAAATTATGCAGCAGGGGAAAAAAGGTATTTTATTAAAAGTTCACCATTCCCACCCCCCTTCCATTATAGGATCAGAAAGCTTTCATGCCAAGAAGTAGTAGTAGTGCACGTTTAACCTGTACTAAAATGTTAGGGTGAAATCCAACCATCACCAAAGTCAACAGTCAGGATTTCACGCTTGCCACAAACAAGGCAATTGTAGCTTTACCCTGTGATAGCTGTTCAGTGTAAGCCCTAATGGGGAGCCTATGTTTGGGTTTACCTCGACCAGCTACAACTGCCTTGTTTAAGCTCAGATTTTAAACACACCTTTTTCCTCCCAGTGAAGGAAAACTCCAATTCTATATCTGAGGTATCTCACAAAACAAAGAAAAACCAGCTTTGACATTTCTGATATTTTCAATGTAAAAAAATTTTCAGAGCTTCTTTCGTTGTCATAAAGCAGTTTCAAAGAGTCCACAGGACAAACCCCTTTTTCCCTTGCAGGTTACTTTTAAACACCTAGACTCCCTGCAACCGTAGGTTCACATCACAGTGAGATCAGTTTAGCCATTCATCTTGCAGGGGCAGATATATCTGGTATTTTACTGTTGTACAGATCTTTCCAGTCCTGTCTGCCCTGGGAGATTATTAGAGATCCCATGGACCCTTTTTGTAAAAGTAGGCATTTGTCCTCATGTCCTTGACCAAAGTATCCTTGTTTCTAACCTGCTTTTTCTTTGCTACATTTCTATAGTACTATGTGTACTGTATACACTTGTAAAACATTTGGGATTCCTTCTATATACACTTCTACCCCAATATAATGCGACCCGATATAACACGAATTTGGATATAACGCGGTAAAACAGTGCTCCGGGGGGGCGGGGCTGCGCACTCCGGCGGATCAAAGCAAGTTCGATATAACGCGGTTTCACCTATAACGCGGTAAGATTTGTTGGCTCCTGAGGACAGCGTTATATCGGGGTAGAGGTGTATTGCTACAAGAATATTCTTTGTATTTTCCATATTCACAATGATTCACAAAATATTACTGTATTAAATATTTTACTAAATATGTAAAATTAAAACACGTTTAAAGTTACTTCCCCAAACCTTTTTAGAAACAAACATGTATCAATACAATATAGATAGTAAACAATGCTCAGAAGAACATTGTTACCCATTCCATTTCAAACAAGAAAACACTTTTCCAAGCAACTAACATGCTAGCTTTTGTCAGCAAAATTAGTGGGGGAGTTTTATTATTATTTAGCAAGAGATTTTCACACATGGAGCCCAATTTTGCAGTTCAGAGGATTACTTCAACGAGTAGGTGCTGGTCAATGTTGTAGAGTGAGGCTCAGAAATAGTGTTGAAATTTCAGAACTGAGCTTTTCTTCAAGTAAATAAAAATAAACCCTGCTAACAATACATTTTTGCCTTAAAGTAAAACCTCTTCATTAACATTAATAGGTTTTTCCTTATGTCACACATTTCAAGCGGTGCCAGCTGCCAATCGTGGGATGATCCGAGTGACCATCAGCATGCAGGGAAGATACAGTACAGCCTGATTACACTTAGCTTGGACGTAGCAACATTCACTGTTGTTTGCTATAAATGGGAAGTCCTAACATGGTTCAATGCTTTGCACAGTACAAACTGCAATTCCCATTACAGTGAAGCTCTCTGTGTAATTAAATTGTTTATGGGGTAAACATTACCTCACTAGAGGGCTCCGCTGTACTCTGCTGAAATCTGTAAGCAGTCCCTTAGGTGGTGGCTGTTTTAACAGGTGGCAGCATAACAGTGAGGTTTTATCAACCATCGAGTTAGATGATCATTAGCCCATGTTTCACAGTACATAGGTATGCTCAAGTAAAATCATTCCTTGTTAAACAGCCATAATTGAGCTCATCCCTTGCTTGGGGCACCACTGCAGAGAGGCAGAAAAGGATGGCACAAATGGGACATTAGACGTACCCGTTTGTATGTTCTCCTAGACTATTACAAAGCCCTTTTTGGTTGTTTCTTTCTCATTCTTTGGATGTTTCCTTACAGTTCACAATCTGGGGTCAAGAAGCACTTAGCAGGTGACTGCTGTCAGTCAGATTCTGACCTCTCATTTGATTTAGAAGATTTGTGCTTTCTTTTCTTTTTCTTCTTTTTTTCCTTTTTCTTTTTCTCCTTCTTTTTCTTCTTCTTGTGTTTCTCTTTACATTCTGAGGAACTGGAGCTGCCACTACTTCCATCTTCATCTGAAGAAGAGTCTTCCAGCAGTTGCTTCAATTGCTGTATCCTAAATACACAAAAATTAATATGAATGAGAATCCTTTCTCCATGTGTGCAGCGGTATGCCCACCCCAAAAAAAGTGAATGATGTAATAGACTTGTGAGAACTGGTCACCAGAGTTCTCTTTGGGGAGGATCCCTGGCTATGCAAATCACTCCAGTCAGAGTCCAAGTTATGGCTTTCTGTGCTCCTGGTTTCAGCCAGGCATTTGTCCAACTCAAGTGTTTTTCCATCCTGTAGGTGGGGTCATTTATAAGGGGAAGGCCTCTACTACTACCCAGCAAAAGCAGTTATTTGATGTTTTTATTTTAATATGTGTATACAGTGTACTCAGAATCAACAGCCATCAGTATGCCCCCAAACCAATTTTTATACTACTACTAACTGACATGCAGGTGAATCCGGGATGAATAAATTCTGAGGTTTTGTTACAATGATGAAGAGGGGGGAGTCACTGGTATCACTGACATAAAAAGCAGGTTCTCCTTTAGCAAAACAGGTAATTTCTGATGCAAAAGTCCCCCCCTGTTTAGTTCTATGCTAGAATTGATTCTTAACAGATAAGGAAAGTCTCCTTACTAGCTTGATTACTTCTATTTGGTAGCATCCATTTCAACTTGGTGTGTATTTTTTTTCAAACACATGCAACTGGTCACCTACAACTACACTGCACCCTATCCCTTAAGCTCAAATGTTGATTGGACATTGCTCATCAGTGATGCTTCCCAGTGCAAGGAACAAGGAAGAGAATTAAACACTTCTGCCCTATTTACTGAATAACGATTTAATAATAGGAATAAAGGCCACATTTTTCAAACATGGGTATCTAAAGCTAGCTTCCTAAATCCTTACAGAGGTATCTAAATAAAACCAACCTGGTTTTCAGAACTGCTTAGAAATCTCACTGAAGTCAATTGGAGCTGTGAGTGCCCAGCACCTTTGAAAATCAGATCACTTTTACTAAAGACGTAAAAAAATAGATTTAGGAGCCTTCCAGGTTTGAAAATGTTGACAAAAATGAACATGTCTACTTTTTGAACAGGCAGTTCTAGGAATCATTAAATATAAATCACTTCAATTTATGAGCAACAAGTAAAATAGCAAATATTTATTAAGAAGGGACAAATGACACCTCCTCTTCTGCATTAGCTGTTTATTAAAATATAAAGATTACCATTAAAAATTAACTTTTGTTTGGAGGTGATGAGTTGAACAGTGAAGGAAATTTTGCCCGTAATATCTAATTTTCACAGAATAATACAAATTAAAGGCTTACATTAAAAAAAAATTAATTTACTACAGAGATACACTTACCTCATTTCCTTTTCATGGCGTTTATTTTCCCTTATTACATCATACATGGGGTCTTCATGTGCCTTTGAAAAAGAGGAAAGGGAAAGCCCAGTATCAGTAAAAGAGACTACCACTGGCGCATATATTTATGACACTTTCCTACCATTAAAATATCCAATCCAACAATAAACGTTTATTCCAATAGAAGAGTCCCAAGCTCTCAATTCACAAGGATGCACTGACATTATTGCAAACCTTTTGGTGAACTTGGGCTGATTTTTGGCATCAGGAAAGGTTTATGCAACTCTGATCCAAAGACTATGTAGCTGACTGCATAGAGCTCTCCTTGCCCACAACACATCTCCTCCTATAGCTGGGGACTATCTCCTATAGGTGCTCAAATATTATGGTGATATGAGACATAAAGCTGGTTATAAATAAATTAGAACTGCTGCTGAAGTCCTGAAATAATCTTAAATATGCCTCTAACATATCTGAACCTTCCCTCTCCATTACTTCCTTTTTCACTCACTGGGGACAACACTGACATCCTGTCTGTGAGCCAGAACCATAACCTGGGCATCATCCTCTACTCAGACCTCTCTCTAGGTCCTCATAGCCATGCAATGTCTAAATATTGCAGATTTCTTTTCTCTAAAACATGACGTTTCCGATCCAGCCACATAGCTATAATTCTTGTTCAGGCTTTTTTTAATCTCACATCTTGATTACTGCAACATCCTTTCCTCTGGCCTTGACAAAGGCAATCTTGCCCCACTAATATCCATTCAGAATGCTGCTGCAAAGATAATTCTCCTAGCTCATTGCGTTGACCATGTCACCTCCCTCTTTGTATCCCTCCACTGGCTCCTTCTTTTTTACTGCTTCAAACATAAGCTGCTTGTCTTCCCTTTCAAGACGCTCTTCCACCCTAATTCTATCATCTCTCATTCACTGTCGAGATGTCAGTTCCCGTCTCTGACTAGCCCACGATGCCAGCCTCCACTGCCCACTTGTTAAATTTGCAAACAAACACCATTACCCTTTCTCCTAGGCTGCCTCTCATACTCATGAGATGCTCCCCGTAAACATCTGCAAAACTTCCTCATTATCCTCCTTCAAAACCCTTTTTTTCTGTGATGCCTCAGACAACCTGACCACAGTTAGTACACTGGTGTGCTTAAACCACTGCCTCCCATGTTGAACAATATCGTCTCATTGTTTCCTCGTACTCCATCTGTCAGTATTGTATCCTCTGTCTCTTGGCTAAGCTCCTGGAGGCAGGTGTTTGTACAGCGCCAAGCACAATGGAGTCCTGGTCTATAAATAGGATTCCTAGGCCCTATGGTAATAAAAATAATCTTCCAATTTTTTCTCTACCACTATTTCTATGGTCAAGCTGTATTGCAGAGACACCTGTACATTAGCATAAAGAAGAATACCTTCTAAGCACCAGCACTCAAATACCATATATGGAAGGCATTTTGTCCGTCCATAGTTAAGGAAGAAGCTAGTTTCCTATTTTAAGTTTGATTCCCAACCCCTCCCCTTACTAATTCTACCTAAACAATCCCCCTGAAATTTTACATACGCTATCTCATCCCCAGGATAGAATTTTTCTGTGAAATGTAAGACAAATCACATGGGAGTTTTACAGATAAGGTATTTCTAAAATTTCTGCATCATTCACTCTTTGAACATCTTCCTAACTTTCTTGTGGCTCCTCATAGCTTGGTCTACAAACTCATTTGATGCGAGGTAATCCAAATCTCTTGATGGCAAATCTGGGCAACTCACCACTGATTATTTGTTAACAGAGTTTTTAGTACATTGATATTTAATCATAAATAACTGATGTTGAAAAGATTAAAGATTTATAATTTATATGCAAATTATCTTCCATTTAAAGAGTGGGTTTTCTGCAAATTAATAATACATTCAATCACATCTCTGTATGAAGAGAGACATTTTTCTCTAATAAGAGGACTATGGTCAGGTTTCAACATCAATATGATACTAGACACAGCGGAAAATCCTTTATAGACCATAACCTAATAGACTTCTTTTCACTTGCAAGATTAGCCATCATCATTATTAATGAAAAATACAACCAATACTACAATATTTTTACTTACTACTCGGAATTGTTCCAATTTCTGATTGCCTTTAATAAAGAATGGGCATTCTTTATCTCCTGTTCTGTGTCCATAACGTTTACATCTCCAACCTTTAGTAAAAGGGAAGCAAACTGAATCTTTGAGTCAGCTCACAACCGATTAAAAACATTAATGGAAAACATCTTTACGTAGCTGAAGCACAGTAAAGAGAAACAAACCATTAAATTCAGTCTGCAAATCTACAAAAGCCTTCAAGATACTGGCTGCTATTATATCAATATGAAGTCAATATATCTGGAATTCATCTTTTATACTGCATAGTCACTTATCGCCAAGATTTTTTTGTTTAAAGTCAAAAGATTTATAAAAGAAAAAAAAAGAAGCCCCGTGAAATTTGGACAGTTCTTGCACTTACACTGCATAACTTTGACTTCTTTTCCTAATGGCATCCAGAGTCCTTTAGTTGGGGCATGAGCCAGGAATTCTCGGGCATGTTCATTGCCTGGTACATCAGGTATGCAGTCTTCTGGCTTAGTTTCATCTTCCTATAGAAATGGTAAGCAAAACAAAACCCCTATTTCATCTAGCTTATTTTAAAACAAATAACCCAAGTGTATAAGTATATGTCATCATTTACTAATGGACCTACTTTCTCCCTGATATTCCTTTCCTCCTTTATACCCATAAAGTTATACCCTTTTTTAGTAGCATTAACTCATTTTTCTTTTTTGCTACCCTTAACTTTTCCCTTCAAGCCTGAATTGCTTCCCTCCTGTTCCATTTAGTCCAACACTTAATTAAATTAAAAGAATTAAACACTTTTCAACTTTTATTGATTTTTCTCTTCTCTGTAATTGAATATAGTGATTACAATAGCCTTTATATGTGGCAGTTTTTGTTTAAGTTGCAAACACTAAATTATGACTCTTTGAATCTGGTAAGAGGAATTTCACAAAAGATCACATGCTAATTTAATGTGATGTTAATGGCAAGGAGAGAGGGAATCATACAAGGTGGATCTGATCCCCCCAAAGCCAATGGAAAAACTCCTATTGACTTTAATGAACCCAGGATTCCAACCAGTGTTTACAGTTTCTTTTAAATACAAAACATTTATTACAATTTACTAACCTTAATTAGCCCTGGAGGAGGTTTCTCATAGCTGGAAAACAATAAAAATATAGTTGTATTAACATTATTTTCTACAACGTAGCATCAAACTTATATACATGGACAAAACAAAGCCGTTTAAATTATATGAAATTTTTAATTTTATAACATTGAACGTACTTAGCCTAAAGCTTTATTTAATTACACTCCTTAAGAAGTGTAGCAACCACAGTGCAACACACGGATGCAAACAGAGTGAAGTGATGCTTGTGGTGTTTCTAAACAGCCAAAAAAAAAGTCTTCTGCAAATAACACAATCCACTCTAATCTGCAAACATGCTTTGGTTTTGTGTTTGCTTGGAAATGACAACTTCATTATGCTGCTTTATAGTGATGTTTCGTGCATCCAATTGAGCCCTAGCTGCCAGAAATTCACAACTCTTTCATCTTGAAAGTCTAGCTATGGTAAGGAAAATGACATCTTGCTACTCCATATTTATTTTTTCCAACACTGAGTCATAAATACACCTCTACCCCGATATAACACTCTCCTTGGGAGCCAAAAAATCTTACCGCGTTATAGGTGAAACCGCGTTATATTGAACTTGCTTTGATCCTCTGGAGCGCGCAGCCTCTTCCCCCTCGGAGCGCTGCTTTACCGCGTTATATCTGAATTCGTGTTATATCGGGTCGCGTTATATCGGGGTAGAGGTGTATGCTCAACTGACAATGTCAAAGCAAGAATTTTCTTACTGCCAGCACTACAAGCTCAACCTAGTACAGGATAATCAAACTGTCTCTCTAGTACATTCAACATCACCAATGACTAATCTGAAGACAGCATCAATGATAGTTTTGTTGATGACTCAGGAGGCTGTTCTGCAGCCATGCTGGATCAGCAGCGTTGACAATAGAAAGAGAGACTTGTTTTTGTCCATACAGTGGGCAGATCTGACTTGGAAGACACCAATGGAGACAATGTACACACGGGTGTTCAATGCCAAGGTATCATTTGATCATCTTCTTAACAATAGCAACACTTAGAGCACTGTCTGGAGTAATTCACAACAAGAAATCCCTACTCCCACTGTGAAGGAATTAACATTAAATTATGGTTGCAGCCCATGGTATTTCCACCCGTTTCAACCCCCTTTTCATAAATTAAGGCACACACATATTTTACAGCATCAGAGGAATCATTCAGCACATCTTAAGCCTTTTACATTGAACATTTTTTCATTCACTCCAAAGGGATCCTGCTGATCATGCTTTGCTGCCAAACTACAGGTCCCACGCTTTCTTCGAAATGTTACTTAAAAAACAAACAGGACAGATACAAAATCAGGGAAGGAGTTGGGGGAAGGACACTTTTTTAAAAGGCAGGGCCGGCTCCAGGCACCAGCTTACCAAGCAGGTGCTTGGGGCCAGGGCTGGCTCCAGGCACCAGCTGAGCAAGCTGGTGCTTGGGGCGGCAGCTTGTAGGAGCAGGGCCAGCTCTAGGCACCAGCAAAACAAGCTGGTGCTTGGGGCGGCACATTTTTAGGGGCGGCATGGCCGGCACCAGAATGCCGTCCCTAAAAATGTGCCCTGGCCGCCCTAGCTCACCTCCGCTGCTGCTGCCGCTCGCACGCCGCTACTCGCCCTCCCTCCCAGGCTCTCAAACCTGGGAGGGAGGGAGGGGGAGATCCCGAGCGGCCGCGGGGCGCGAAACAGGTGTTTCGCGCGCCGCTGCTCCCCCTCCCTCCCAGGCTTGAGAGCCTGGGAGGGAGGGGGAGACTCCGAGTGGCCGCAGCGTGGGTACCGCTTCTCCCCCTCCCTCCTAGGCTTGAGAGCCTGGGGGGAGGAGGCAGGGCTGGGGATTTGGGGAAGGGGAGGAGTTGAGGCGGGGCGGGGGGTGGAGTAATTAAAAAACGGGGGGCGGGGGCGGCCAAAATTGTTTTTGCTTTGAGCGGCAAAAATCGTAGAGCCGGCCCTGTGTAGGAGGCAGCATTCCGCCCAATCCTAGGGTGGCACGGCCACGTTTTTCTTCTTTTTTTTTGTGTTGTTACGCTCCGGCCACAAGTGCCCTGCAGTAAACCCGGCAGGGCAGCCCGCGTCCTTCTCTCCCAGCTGACCGGAGCGGCGCAGAGCCCTCCCGGCAGGCGGCGGGAGGGGCCGCGTGGCAGCAAGCCCTGGCCGCCCTTCTCTCTCTCCCTCCCACTGCACCCTGGCTCTGGCCGCGCCGCAGGTGTTTTGTTTTTTTTTTTTTGCTTGGGGCGGCCAAAAAGCCAGAGCCGGCCCTGCTTGGGGCGGCCACTTCGGAGAGGGGCGGCACGTCCAGCTGTTCGGCAGATGGTCCCTCACTCCTGCTAGTTTTGTTTGTTTGTTTGTTTGGCTGCTTGGGGCGGCCAAAACCCTGGAGCCGGCCCTGTTAAAAGGCACTGGGTGACAGAAATTTTTTTTACTTATCTTCACTTGGACAGGTATATAGAGAATGGACAGACTGGCTGCCTTCTGTAAATGTTCAGAGAAATTGGTGGGCATAGCAACAATAACAAATCCTGGACCTATTTCTATGCAAAATGGGCCACATTGGAAGGTCACTGCACACAGGTGCCCACCAGAAGACTTGTGCACAGCAGGTGAAACACTAGCTACATGTTTTCCCCTCTGCTTCAAGTTCCCTGACCCTAAAGAGACCAGAGAGGCTGCACTACAGCCAACAATAGCCAGTGGTATACCTCTCACTCTGCAAAGGCCCAAATGTAAGACACAAAGTGTGACAGTGGCCCAAATTGAGGCCATCAAAATATTATTCATGCAGCGAAGTTAAAAAGCGATGGGACTGATTCCTCAGTGTAGAGATCTCTATAGCATCAGTTTAATGATTCTGCATTTCTAATGTATACAGTATAACTTTCAATGATAAAAGTGAAGGGACACCGATTTTGGGGGGAACTTAGGTAACTTTGGAACTACGCTGAGTGACATTCCTCAAAAAGAGGGACATATGAGAAGCATTTTCTGGGATAGGTCCTACTGGATTTTGTAAATAAAACTCCTGCTCTGGCTTCATACACTGATTATTCCTGTCAGGAACAAAGGTAACCAGTACAGGGTCTGCCCCTGCGCATGGGGTTACTTCCAGACAGGATTTGGGAGAAAATGAACATTGCTTTTGCAACATGTGCATGCACATGTTTAGACGCCCTATTTCCATGCAGCAGTAGAGCATGGCCCATTGCCTCTAAAGAAAACCCAGATCAAACTTTTGAAGCACCACATTGGCAATGATTAGCCAGAATTAGAATGGAACCAGTAGCAGGTGACATAATAAAATGATCCCATTCCCATAACTCTGGCACTTCCACCCCCTTTGTAATTTTCATTTATAAAATAAAATCATGAGTGTATTTTAATTATCTATAAAGGCCAAATACATCAGCTAACAACAAATGCCGCCCCTAAATTTTAATCCGGATTTCCAGCGCCCTCCCGGGGACCCAGTTCAGCAGAGTGTTATGATCTATTTGCAAACGCACAGGAGAGGCGCTCAGATACCAGGGGGGTGGGCTAGCGAGAGTGCGGGGTTTGGGTTCAGCCTGTCACAGAAGCAGGGGCTAGCCGTAAAACAGAGCTGCACGCTGGACAGGCCCATCTCTGCAATGACGGCTCAGCAACGGGTGGGGGCACTGGCGGGCAGCTCCCCAGCCACAGAGGGGCTTGTCCCAGGGACTCTCCGTCTGCTCCCCCCCCCCTCCGAACCCCTTACAAGGACTCCAGGTGCTGGATTTGCTGGATCTGCTGCACCTCCCGCTTCTTCCTCTTCTGCTCATGCCGCTCCAGCTCCCTGCAGCCCCCGCTGCTGCCTGCCAGGGGCTCGCGCTGGCTCCTGGGCCGCTTGTGGCTGCGCCTCTCGGCGGGGGCGGCCTCCGCCTTCTCCCGCGCTCCCCGCCTGTGGGACATGGGGGCCCCGGGCTCGGGCGGCCAGCGGGAAGGGGAGGCACAGAGCCGAGCAGCTGCAGCTCCTGCACCGACCAGCGCCTCCCCTCCCCCCCTGACTGATTTCACTTTCACTTGACTTCCCATCCCTGCACCCGCTGCAGGCAAAGCAGGGACTTCCTCTGGGCGGCTGGGCCTGGCTAATCCCAGGCAGCGCCCCCTCCTTCTCCAGCGCTCGCGAAGGCGGAGGGGCTCCCAGCCCTCCGCGGGGCATAGAGCGGCCCTGCTGAGCTCAGCCCCTTGCCAAGGGGCCACCGGCTTAAAGGGTTTTCAGGGGGGAAAATGGTGAAAGCTGCCTGAGGTGAAGGGGAGTCGAACTATTCCTTCTGCATTAGTAAGCATCAAAGCAATGAGCTAGTGCAGGAGCACCAGGAGGGGGGAACTGACCCTACAGAAAAAGCCATGCAGTCCAGTCTGAGGCCCTGCCCCTGCAATCCCAGCTGTGCAGGTGCACCCCAGCAAATCAGGAGCCATAGGTGCTGGAACTAGGGGTGCTGCTGCACCCCCTGGCTTGAAGTTGTTTCCATCATATACAGGGTTTACAGTTTGGTTCAATGGCTCTCAGCAGCCGCACTATACAAATTGTTCCAAGACCTGTCAGAAGCCCTCCCCTCCCCCTGTCCCCTTAGGATCAGGTTTGAGATAATGGTTACCTGCTCATAGTGCCTGCGCTCCTCTCATTTTCTTTTATATTCTTTGGTCTGCTTTATATTTTAAAAGCCACAAAGGCGAGCGACCCCAGCAGAGTTCATAATAACTAATAACACGTAGCACTTATATAGCACTTTTCATCCACTGTCTCCCAGCATCTTACAGAGGGGCACAAGGATCATTATCCTCATTTGACATAGGAGGAAACTGAAGCAAAGAGCAGTGAAGTGACTTGCCCCAGGTCAGAAGCAGGTCCGTGGTGAAGCCAAGAATAGAAAGCAGGGGCCCAAATGGAGGAGGCTCAGGCTAAGCCCTGGCACAGAACTTTGCCACCTCTGCAGCAGTCTGAGTGCAGCTGGGATGCTGGAGGCAAGGGGACATGTTGGTAGCAGGAGAGGGCACGGCCACAGGCTAGGGCAGGCCTGCATCCCATTACTTTTTCATTCCTGAAAGGCCCTGAGTGTGTGCTGAGGCTTGAAATCCGCCCCCCCCCCCATAGCTTTTGAATAACCACCTCTCTTCTCTTCCTGTACCAGTGTCGACACCAGTGCAGGGATGAATCTGCCCCTAGGTTTCCTGATTCCGAGCCCCAGCCACGGCCTGTCCATTGCATCACACTGAGGATAAGATATAGGCTGGAGCCATGAAGGTTGGATCTAGATCACAACCGTTCCCACACCCCAAAGTTCTTGGATTTGGGGGAGTGATTGTAAATCAGTGAAATGCAATACTAAACAAATGTAAGTAGAGAAAGATGAGGTAGCATTTTAAAGTAATTGCAGTTTTAATAATTTAAGATGGTGTTAAATAGGTGCACTAGGTAAAACACCACACAGTGCCAAATTTATATAAGAATAACATGCTTCTGAGAAAACATATATAGGCAAATATTTGTTTCTTAGATCAGTTTTCCACTGTATGTGATCTTGAACTTGACACTGCTTGACTTGTGCTGCTGTAGTGTTTCAGTGAAGACACTACTACACTGATGGGAGAGCTTTTCCCATCAGTGTAATTAATCCACCTCCACGAGAGGTGTTGATGGGAGAAGCCCTCCCGTCAATGTAGCGCTGTCTAGATTGGGGGTTAGGTCAGTATAACTGCATCGCTTGGGAGTGTGGATTTTTCACACCTGAGCCATGTAATTATACTGATATAAATTTACAGTGTAGACCAGGCCTCAGTCACTGCACTTGATAAAGGAAGTGCTGCTTGTCCTATCAGGCACGGTAACAACTTCATTAATGTAAATATTCCTGAAAAGGGAGTGTACATTTCATTCCACATTATTTTAGGCTCTCTTGGGCAAAGTCTGAAGTCTTTGGTGCCAAAGATCATGTGCTCTGTTTTTCCACATGCATCCAGTGAATGATCACCATTGTAGCTCTGGGCTGTGGGTATTCATTTATTATCCAGTTACTTCTGCCATGGTATATTGAAAGGATTTAGAGGCAAATTTAACTTTTAACAAAATAATCTAGCTTGTTGCATATCCTGCCTCTGGAGGCACAATTTCCATAATCATGCTTAACTTGGAGAATGATAGAATTTTTAGGTTTGTTGGCAATGAAAAGACTACAATGACCATTCTACTGCAAAGCCAACACCTGGACTCATGATCTTGCAGAAATAGTTCTTGAGAACCCAACTGCATAAACTGATTCCAGGATAGACCACAAGCATTGGATGGACAGGTGAGGGGTGGGAAAACCTTTCAAGTGCCCTGAGGTATATAGTTTGTCAGCTCAGGGGAGAGGTCTCTTGTGAGTTTTATTCACACCCATTTAATAGGCCTAAACTGAGGGACTTGACTGAGTGGTTAGTAAGTATGTTCCATCCCTTCTCTTTCAGTCACAGAGTGCACCAGCCCACTGCGGTCAATTAGATTAAGGCACCAGTATAAGTAGGACAAACGTTCTGAGGTGGGGCAATTACAGTAAAGATATCTCGAAGAATTTAGACTAGAGACAATATCAACTTTTCATTATATTTATTTGTACACAGAATCAGGTGTCGTGGATAAGCAGCCGATATAATGATAATAGCTAAAAGAGACGTAGTAGCTACGCTGATGCTCACCAGATGGAGATCTGCTATTTGCATTAGTTTTGCTGCCTTGTTTAGTGCTGGGATTGAATGGGACTCAAGTGGTGGTTTGGGCTTTGTGCAGGTCCTATTCATTTTGATGAATTTCACCCTTAGGAAAAGGTACCAACATTTTGCTAATTTTAAGTGTCTTTATATATATAAGGGCCAGCTCCTCAGTTGGTATAAATTGTCATAGCTCCATTGACTTCAATTGAGGATCTGGCCTAAAATATGTAGGGTCAGATTCTGCACTCCGTGCTTTACAATATCAAGAGACATGCATGGGTATAAGTGAGGACAGAAGAGAGACCATGGTAAAGGGTCCCATTCCTGCTCACATTAAAGTCAATGGTAAGATCAAGCTAAATATATGTGGCATGTACCAACATACATGTATTTAAATATGACTATGGCCCTTACGTGCTAAATAGTGCTGACACCGGCACACAATCCCCATAAAACAAATTGAACAATCCCCATAAAACAAAATCAATGGCAGCAGCCTGTTGAAAAAGATGATATTTTTGACAATGAGAGCTACTGCCTTAATGTCTTCCTTGCTCGCTGCAGCAGGCACAAAATCCAGACAGAGACTCCTACCTCAAAGGCTGCTAATCCAAGTTCTGCTGAGTCCACTCTGTAGGCTAGTGCCAATCTTTCAGGCTAGAACCAAAATAGAAAATGATTTTTAATGCATCTCTTTATCCTTGTTTCATTGTATACGCTAATTGGCAACAGGGCCCTTGTCATAACTATAAAGGGAAGGGTAACAGCTCTCCTGTGTACAGTACTATAAAATCCCTTCTGGCCAGAGACTCCAAAATCCTTTTACCTGTAACGGGTTAAGAAGCTCAGGTAACCTGGCTGACACCTGACCCAAAGGACCAATAAGGGGACAAGATACTTTCAAATCTTGGGGGGGGGGAAGGTTTTTGTTTGTGCTCTTTGTTTTGGGGGTTGTTCGCTCTTGGGACTGAGAGGGACCAGACATCAATCCAGGTTCTCCACATCTTTCTGAACAAGTCTCTCATATTTCAAACTTGTAAGTAAACAGCCAGGCAAGGAGTGTTAGTTTATCTTTGTTTTCTCAACTTGTAAATGTACCTTTTACTAGAGTGTTTATCTCTGTTTGCTGTACTTTGAACCTAAGGCTAGAGGCGGGTCCTCTGAGCTCTTTAAGTTTGATTACCCTGTAAAGTTATTTTCCATCCTGATTTTACAGAGATGATTTTTACCTTTTTCTTTAATTAAAAGCCTTCTTTTTAAGAACCTGATTGATTTTTCCTTGTTTTTAGATCCAAGGGGATTGGATCTTGATCCACCAGGAGTTGGTGGGAGGAAGGAGGGGGGATGGTTAATTTCTCCTTGTTTTAAGATCCAAGGGGTTTGGATCTGTATTAACCAGGGAATTGGTGAAAAGTTTCTCAAGGCTTCCCAGGGAAGGGAATTAGCTTTGGGAATGGTGGCAGCGGACCAGATCTAAGCTGGTAGTTAAGCTTAGAAGTTTTCATGCAGGCCCCCACATTTGTACCCTAAAGTTCAGAGTGGGGAAGCAGCCTTGACAGCCCTACAGAATCATATACTGATGTTTCTCCAAAACGGACAGAGACCGAGAATGCTTTGAGGATGACAGATAAATGCTGAAAGCACTATCCTCTACAGGGCCAGGTTAGACTAATAACATTCATCTAAATCACACAGGATGGTAGAATTATGACACCCCTGGGGATAACATAACATGTAGGCAAAATGGTAGTGGGTCAATGCTTGCCATGGAAATAATTTAAAATTTTCTGGTGGCTTGGGTGAAATGAATTGTTAATTTCACTCCAGTTCCTAGTGAGCCTCACCAGACCTATCAATTAATTAGCATCCTTCTCTCCCCCGCCCCCATGTCAGAGATCAAAGATTCAGTCTTGCAAGGTGCTGAACGCTCCGTCCAAACCAGTAAAGCATTTAAGCACATGCTTAACTTTAAATACGTGAATAACTCCATAGGCATTATTTAATCTCAGTGCTTTGTAAACAAATATTTTTACTTAAGCAAAGATGTTTAATAAAATGTGAAAGGAAAAATACAGTTAATAAAATATTAAAGTAAAATAGAAGGAACTTACATCACTGGTGTCATGAGGAAAGGGGCTCTGAGGCGATCTAATCAAAGCAAACTCCAGAGAATAATAAATTGTTCCAGCCACTGCTGTTGTTATGCTCAATATTATAGTGACAAAGGCGCATTTTTCCTATAGACAGAAACATATTGTATATTAATGAAATGTTAGTGACTATTTTAATGCATTTATTTAGTGTTTTTCATTAGAGGATCTCAACATGCATTATCAGCATTAATTAACTAAGCCACATAATGCCCGGTGAGGCAAATATTATTATATCCATTTTACTGATGGATAAATTGAGGGATAGAACAATTAAGTGATATGCCTCAGGGAGCGTCAGAAATAGAACCAAGTAGCGTTTATTCCTTTAATTAATGACAGGTATTTGTGTAGCCATTTATTCAAAGTGTTGAACAAACTGATTGGAAAGCAGTGTTAATAATGGTCTGAAATTCTAAGATTATAAAATGTTTTATGAACTTCAGCTGGTACCTCACATTTGCCTATACTCAGCTGGGCTAAGTATGTCCTTAATGTCTGATCTAAAGTCCTCTTTCAGTATTGACTTCAGTGGTCTCTGGATCAGGTCCTAGGTTCAGTCTGGACCAGACAATGAACACGTTTTTTTCTTTTTTTATCACGGGTCCTTGGTTGTACTACCTCTATTCCAAAGAAGGTTCACAGAAACCATGACTGGCTGCCTGTAGTGTCCATTGATTTTGGAGGAGTTTTCCTTGACATGCTTTTGGATCCCCTCCTCTGTTTCTTTGTTTTTTGTAATTGATCTGGCTTCTTTGTGATTTCTAAGAACTGATCTTTGTCATCAGTAAAGTGTTTTACTTGAGAGCCATAGAATTTGTCCTTGTGCAACATCCTTGGATTCTGATAGGTTGTAAGTATAGGCAATGATCCTGCAAAGGCCATGGCACTTGCTTAACTTTGTACCCTGTGAGTACTCAGTATGTAAAATTAAGTATATGCGTAAGTCTATGCAGGATGGGGCCTTAGACTAGTTGTTTCTTCAATTTGATTTGAATAGTTTTCTACTGGGTTTGTTCATAGATGTCTTATAAACATTTAAATACATTGTTTTTATTTCATCACACTGAAGCGCCATTCAGAAATACATAGATGTGAAGAGAGACTCCCTCCCCAAAACTTCTATTTAAAATTTCACATTCTTTTTTTTCAGGTTTTCTTTTTCTCCTTTGCTGAAAAAGCCCTGGATTCCTCTGGTACTGTGATCATTACACTCACCCAAGGAACTGAGTGTTTTTTCACCAGTATAAGTAGGGACAATCCAGATATAAGGAACTGTGAAAAACAAGACAACAGAAAATGTGCAAAGATTACTTTTATTGCTATCCATTTTGGAGCCAGATTCTCAGCTACTAAATCAGGTAGCTTCATTAGCTTCAGTTGATTTACACTAGCTGAGGATTTGGTCCTTCTGAGCTAATTTCTTTCATTGCTATATAATAAAACAAACAATTAAGGATTCTTAGTTTTTATGTAATGTTATTGTTGTTTTACCATAATTGCGCACCACCATGGTGCTCCAATTCCTGCTTCACCAAAACACCCAAGTATAAACATTCCAATTGCAGCTGCAACTTGAAAAACCTAGAAGAGAAATACTATATTTGTCAGTTGTGGAACTGGGATTGGAAGCTAAAGCCATTAAATAGGAGACGCTTCACAACCATCTTTACTTAAAAAAAAAACAAAAAACTGAATTTTTCAGCCATAAGTTATAGGATAAGGGCCAAGGGCTTCATTGTGATTCCAGTAAATTCAGCGCAAAACTCTCCTTGATTTAAATGGGATTAGAATTGAGCTCAAATCCTGCCTCAAATGTCTGGGTGCAAGCAACTCCTATTGAACTTAATGGAAATTGCATGAGCATATCGGAGGCCAAAATTTGTCTGATTGTGTATATGGACTGGCCCAAATTCAGCTATAGCTTTGCAATCCCAAAGAAATTGATAGGATTGCATGGAGATAATTGAGGGTGGAATGTGAGCCAGTGGAATTACACCGGGGTGAATCTGTTTCCCTGCGTATATTTCTGGCTGGATAGAGCTCTGGACTGGTATCTGACTCAGATTATTATGTGGCAAATACTAAACACACACATCTAAAACAGATTCTGATTTTGTATGCAATCATTTTGTTTCTATGGCTGTTCAGACAAGTACATTATAACCATATTTTTAAAAATTCAGATTATGGGTTAACTATTCTTGTAGTCAGTACGTGGACTTACAAGGTAATCTTTAATTATTATTAGGGCTGTCAAGCGATTAAAAAAAATAATTGCAATTAATCACGCAATTAAAAAAAGTAATCTCGATTAATTGCACTGTTAAACAATAATAGAATACCATTTATTGAAATATTTTTGGATGTTTTCTACAATTTCAAATATTGATTTCAATTACAACACAGAATATAAACTGTACAGTGTTCATTTTATATTTATTTTTTATTACAAATATTTGCACTGTAAAAAACAAAAGAAATAGTATTTTTCAATTCACCTAATACAAGTACTGTAGTGCAATCTCTTTATCATGAAAGTTGAACTTACAAATGTAGAATTATGTACAATAAAAACCTGTATTAAAAAATAAAACAATGTAAAACTTTAGAGCCTACAAGTCTTTGTTCAGCCAATCACTCAGACAAACAAGTTTGTTTACTTTTACAGAAGATAATGCTGCCCGCTTCTTGTTTACAATGACACTTGAAAGTGAGAACAGGCATTTGCATGACATGTAAAATTTTAAAGCCTACAAGTCCACTCAGTCCTACTTCTTGTTCAGCCGATCGCTCAGACACACAAGTTTTTTTACATTTACAAGAGATACTGCTGCCCACTTCTTAATTACAGTATCACCTGAAAGTGAGAACAGGCGTTTGCATGGCAATGTTGTAGCCAGTGTCGCAAGATATTTACATGCCAGATGCGCTAAGATTCATATATCCTTGATGCTTCAGCCACTATTCCAGAGGACATGCATCCATGCTGATGACGGGTTCTGCTCGATAACGATCCAAAGCAGTGCAGACCGACGCATGTTCATTTTCGTCATCTGAGTCAGATGCCACAGGCAAAAGGTTGATTTTCTTATTTGGTGGTTTGGGTTCTGTAGTTTCTGCATCAGAGTGTTGCTCTTTTAAGACTTCTGAAAGCATGCGCCACACCTCATCCCTCTCAGATTTTGTAAAACACTTCAGATTCTTAAATTATGGGTCGAGTGCTGTAGCTATCTTTAGAAATTTCACATTGGTACCTTCTTTGCATTTTGTCAAATTTGCAGTGAAAGTGTTCTTAAAATGAACAACATGTGCTGCGTCATCATTCGAGACTGCAATAACATGAAATACATGGCAGAATGCGGGTAAAACAGAGCAGGAGACATACAATTCTCCCCCCAAGGAGTTCAGTCATTAATTTAATTAACGTATTATTTTTTTAACGAGCGTCATCAGCATGGAAGCATGTCCTCTGGATGATGGCCAAAGCATGAAGAGGCATATGAATCTTTAGCGCATCTGGCACGTAAATATCTTGCGACGCCAGCTACAACATTGCCATGCAAACGCCTGTTCTCACTTTCAGGTGATACTGTAATTAAGAAGTGGGCAGCAGTATCTCTTGTAAATGTAAAAAAACTTGTGTGTCTGAGCGATTGGCTGAACAAGAAGTAGGACTGAGTGGACTTGTAGGCTCTAAAATTTTACATTGTTTTGTTTGAGTGCAGTTATGTAACAAAAAACCCTACATTTGTAAGTTGCACTTTCATGATAAAGAGATTTCACTACAGTACTTTTATCATTTTTACATTGCAAATATTTGTAATAAAAAACAATATAAAGTGAGCATTTTACACTTTGTATTCTGTGTTGTAATTGAAATCGATATATTTGAAAATGAAGAAAAACATCCAAAAATATTTAATAAATTTCAATTTGTATTATATTGTTTAACAGTGCAATTAATCACGATTAATTTTTTTAATAACCATTAATTTTTTTGAGTTAATTGCATGAGTTAACTGCGATTAATCGACAGCCCTAATTATTATGTAGTTCCTTAGTATTTTATTAAACTGTACAAATTATTATACTGATGAGCCCAATTGGTAATACAGTGCTGACTAGCATTTGCAAATATAAACAAATACAAAAATATAATCTGCTGCTTTGGGGGCCTCATTCTCCCCTAGGTGGATTGCTCCTATATAGGAGAATGGAAACTGCAAATTTCCACCCAAATAATTTCTGCCATTAAGTGGGGCAATATGCCCCTTCCCTTTCCCCTCCACCTGTGAAAAAGCCAATGTGCCACTGCCTAGCCCTGTGAACCCACAAGATCCACGATAGTCTTGGGAATCCATCCAAGGCCTCTCACAATCCCAGTGCTGCTCAGCTCTTTCCTGCCCCTAATTCCCTGCAACTTCTGGATGGAGTGGCTCCTAATGGAGCCATGATGTCAGCAGCTCCCCTGACTGTAGCTGCCACCTAGCTTTGGTGGTGGGGTTTCATACTGTCCATGCATGTTGCTGTAGACTTTGTCCCCTAAGGTCTGGGGAGAGGGGAAAATCCAAACCTGTTCTCTGCACACAGATCTGGATACCAGTGTGCCCCACAGAGAGACTTCCTCAGGGTTGGAGTGAAATGGTGGAGCATATCATGAAAATGTTTCCCAGTCTCTCCATGCTTCCACTAGCTAGATCCATCATCTTGGCTTCCCTCTGCTTGCATGGAGGTTTTATTTAGAAGGCATGATAATAGACAAAGACTGTTCAACAGGTACTTACAACAGGTATGATTGGACGCAGTTTTGTAAATTCCGTCTTCCAGACTTTTGGTAGTTCATTGCTTGTGTATTCCCCCTCCATCTTTCTGTGGAGATATTGCCTCAGTAGTTATTTAGTACCTGTAGTGGTAGTATCAAAGGATCTATTCCAGATCAGAGCCAAAATGTCCAGTTTTTCTCCTTGAGCAACCCCTGGCTGAAAAAGCTCTCTGTTTCTGAATCTTTGTTAGTCATTTTAACCAAACCCTGAGGTTCTGAACCATCTAAATAACTGTTATTTCCATTTTTGTGAGCCTTTTCCCCTTAGGATTCTATTTTTATCATTAAATATAAATTACTATAATCAGTTCAAGTCATTCTATATAAAGTCTCACTCACATTATTCAGGAATAGTTGCTAGTCTAAAACTTCGTAATATTGTAATTGGTAGGACTATATCTATTTCTAACTCCCTTCCTGTTAATACTAAGTCAAATATTGTAAGTATTTACTGAGGCAAAACTCCCTTTAACTTCAGTGCGAGTTTTCCCTCAGTAATGACGTTGTAGATTCCAAAGTGCTTCATAAACTCTCTGTATGCAACCGTAGCACTTAAATGTAGGGGCGGCAGGTTTGTAGAAATTTTGGTGGTGCCCAGAACCCGCCTCCCCCCAAACTCCACCCCCCCAACTCTGCCCCCCACCTGCCTAAGGCTCTGGGAGGAAGTTTGGGTGGGGGGGTCTGGGGTGCAGGCCCTGTGCTGGGGCAGGGGATTGGGGTGCAGGATGGGTGAGAGGTTGGGTTCTGGGAGGGAGTTTGGGTGGGGGAGAGGGTCTGGGGTGCAGATTCTGGGATGGAGTTTGGGTGCTGGGTGTAGGCTCTGGGCTGCAGCAGGGAGTGGGGGTGCAGGAGGGGGTGAGGGGTGCAGGCTCTGGGATGGAGTTTGGGTGCAAGCTCTGGGAGGGAGTGCGGAGGCAGGAGAGGGTGTGTGGGAAGGGCATGGGGGTGCAGGCTTTGGGACAGAGTTTGGGTGCTGGCTCTGGGCTGGGGGTGCAGGCTCTGGGAGGGAGTTTGGTGGCCGGAAGGGGGTGCAGGCTCTGGGAAGGGGTGGGAGGTGCGGCGCTTACCTGGGGCTCCTAGGCAGGGCTGGCTGGGAGTCTCCATGTGCTGCTACCCCCAGGCACTGCCCCTGCAGCTTCCCATTGGCCGCAGGGAGGGGCTGGCAGCCACGTAGAGCAAGCAGGCCAGACACCGCTCAGCTCTGCTGCGCTGCTGGTGGTGAGTGGGGGCCCCGGGCTGTTTTAAATGGCCCAGGTGACGCGCAGGGGGGACGCCCAGGGGCGGAAGGCGGGGCCAAGGGAGAGACCTGGCCTCACACAGTGCTGGAGCCAGGCCCGTAGAACTCACCGCCCATGCTGAAATGTTAGCCGAGGACAGTTGGGCAACCCCTGCCAATCTCTTATGAAATGTACCAAATGATCATTAGTGTTCATGCTGAGCAGACAAGACC